TGGAGGAGGGCTCTTCTGGCCTCGATGGAGCGGCTCAAGCGAAGGCGGTGGCTTCCCGCGCAGCGGACAGCACACTCCGCACTGGATGCTGGCGGAGCGACCGATAATCTTTCTTGATGTTGAGTTTCAATCTATTTTGTAGACTGCAGTCCCTGACCTTTTATAAAGGTTTCAGTTCCTCCTCAGTTTTGGCATGCAAGGCTGTGTCATCTGCATAATGTTGGCTGTTGGTGAGTCTTCCTCTAATTCTAATGCCGCTTTCCTCATAAAATCCAGCTTCCCGATTATTTTGTTTTACATACAGATTGAAAAGCTATGGAGACAGAACATATCCCTGAAGTACTCCTTTTCCTGATTTTGAACCATGCAGTGTTTCCTTGCAGTGTTCTGATGAATGCTTCTTGACCCAAGAAGCAGTCCAAGTATAGATTTTGTAGGAGCATAAGCAGGTGTTCTGAAATTTCCATTCTTCTCAACGTTAGTCACAATTTGTGATCCACATAGTCAAGTGCCTTTGCATAATCAATGAAGCGCAGATAGACATTCCTCTGGTACTGTATTTTCAGCCAAGATCCATCTGACATTGGCTATGATATCCCTAGTGCTGCAGCCTCTTCTAAACCACCTTGTATTTCTGGTAGTTTTCTGTCAGTGTACTATCCCAGTCATTTTTGTTTTATGATCTTCAGCAGGATTTTGCTTGTGCATGATATTAGTGATATTCCATAATTTCTGCACTCTGTTGGATGCCTTTTTTTTAAAAAAAAAGGAATAAATATTCTCATTTTCATTGGTGGTAGTGTATACCTAAAAATACATTCAGTTACTAAGAAAAGATATTTATTACACAGATTATTTCTTTTATAGTAATTAGTAGTAGTTTCTTTAAAGGAGGTAGCTCTGATGGCCTAGTGGTAAGAAACTGTGCTGCAGTCTTGAAGATAGGCAGTTCGAATCCACCAGTTGCTCCACAGAAGAAGTATGGGCAGTCTCCTCCCATGTGATTAACTACCTTTAAAGAACTGCTTGAGGGTCAGTTATGGGTCAGTTCTAACTCAACAATACACAACAACAATAAAGGGACCTCTGGTGGCTTTTTTGTAAGGAGTTGTGCAGCCAACCCAAAGGCACACAGTTTGAATCCACCAGCTGCTTGCGAGAGAAAGATGGACAGTCTTCTCCTAGGCAGTTTACTCCCTCTGAAAGTCCACTAGAGGATCAGCTATGAGTTGGTTCCAGTTTAATGGTATATAACAACAATGGTTCCTTTAAGATCTTTTTAGGATTTGCTTTGCATTTGAGAACTGGACAATGAATAAGGATGACAGAAGAATTATTTATGTCTCTGAACAGTGATGTTGGAAAAGAGTACTGAATATCCCATAGACTACCAAAACAACAAACAGGTATGCCTTGGAGAAAGTGCAGCCAGAGTGTTCTTTGAAGGCAAAGATAGTGAAGCTTCGTCTGCTTTGGGTATGTTGCTAGGAGAGGTTTTTCCTTGCAGAGGGACATCATGCTTGGCAAAATTAAGATTTGATGAAGGGCAGAAAAACCCTTAAGCAAATGAATTAACAAAGTGAATGGCCATGCGCTTGAAATTTCAGAGATTGTGAGGATGGCACAGAATAGGACAGGATTCAGATCTGTTGTACATAGGTCATAATGAGTCATACTTGACTTGATGGCACCTAACAACAACAAAAAACACATTTATTAATAACTGTATCTTTTCCTAAGCCAAAAGCGCTGGTGGCCTACTTGTTAGAAGCTGTGCTGCAGTCTCAAAGACAAAAGAATATTGTGAGTGATAGGGTATTTTCCATAAGCATAAAGTAAAAGAATATCATATGTTGCTAAGAGCTTGATGGCCTGTTGGTTTGTAGCTGTACTGCAATCCCTAAGACATGAGAGATTCTCTTCTTGAGAGAAGAATGTGGAATCTCCCATATGATTTACTGCCTCTGAAAACCTGCTGGAGGGTCAGCTACTGGTTGGTTCCGTCTCCATGGCACACAGCACAACAACAAATCCCTCTAAACAAAGGTTTAGTTATATCTCACTAATTTTTATATTTTGTGTTTTCATTTTACTTATTTCCTTTTTGAGCCTGGATTATTTGATTGTTAATAATTTCTAGATATTACAATATGTTACTGAATTGTAATTTAATTGCATGTAGTCAAGAGAAAAGATGTTATAAGGATTTGTTATTCAATATGCATTTGATCTGTATTTTTGAATGTGTTATGTTGAATGTGTTTTCTACAGTTACTGGGCTTAGTGATTAGAAAATTTCGGTAAGATCAAGACAATTCATGGTGCTATTTAGGTTTTCCATTCACCTTATCATTTAGCATTATCTTCTCTATTTTGGTTAATGTCTTGGAAATTTTGATAATATTATCCATCAAATATTTAGTTCAAGGCAATAGGTTGTTTATAAGTAGCTGGTATTTTACAAAAATCCTTTGGGCTTAAGGGTGAAACTGTTTCACAGGCTGATGGTGGCAATTTAGGTATGGTGTTGATGGTTTGCTCTGTAGCCACAAACTGTTTTCAAATAGAAGAATATATCCAAGAAGGCAGCTTGAGAGACCTTGACGTACAGGTTGTGTGAGCCATGGCTATGACTAGTGTCAGGTTGCCTACCAGCATTTTAAGAAAGACAGATGCCTGGATTGGACTCTGGGGAGCGTTCTGGAGGACACCTTCTTCCTACAAACTCTGTGCTTCCTGGAATCAGTACTTAGATTTTTCAACTATCGCTTTAAATGTATCAAATTATAAAATACGTCTCCGCAGTGTATTTTCACTAAGACTCCGAGGCCTCTTAATATCTCCAGAATATATTTTGCCATTTTCCATGAGACTCAAAAGGAATATAAGCTCTAAAAAATTCCCTAAAAAGACTCTGCAGAAAGTGGAAGGTGAAGAGTCTGATCAAGAGTGACCACAGCGAGATAAGTAAGCAGGGAGAGGAGCTTGAGGATGACTCCAGTGTGGTCAAAGACTATAAGGACCTGGAAAAGTGGTGCAGTCCTTTCAGTATGATGTTATCCTAAAGACTGGTCTAGACGTTGGAAGAAACAAAGTGGAAGATGTATTCTATAAAGGTGAACTCAGTCTGAATGGGGAAAAATTATGGAAGAAAAGCAGAACGGTAAAAGTGGGAGGGAGATACATTAGAGGTTATCACTGAAGAAAATAAGGAAGCAGAAACAGACATAGTAATGCGAATTCTCCTGAAAAAAGTGCTTGAAGAGAAAACGGAAAGTGAAAAATACAAAATGGTATTACGGCGGTGGAAAAAGTTAGAATTGCCTAAGAAGAGTACATCTAAATAAATGAATTGCTTTGTAGACATAAAAAAATTTATATATCCATTGAGCCCTGGAGGGTGTAAACAGTTAAAGTTCTCTGCTGTTGACTTGTGGTGGGGGGAAGTCAAGTGTACCCAGTAATGTCTTGAGAGAAAGACCCAGTGATTACTTCTGAGTAACCAGCCAGCCCTGGACAGCACAGCTCCACTCTGAGAAATGTGGATCCACATGAGTTAGAGTCATCTCAGGACCAACTGTTTTTCTTTTTGTCAATTCATTGGGCAGTTGCATAGATCATGGTTCAGTCCAAGGCTTCTCAGCAGGGCATGTGAATTTATTTCTGAAATCATGTTGTTCTCTGTTTCTCACTGGTCTCCTTCTGTCCCCAGTGTCCCTGCAAGAGACTGTATGAAGACTCTGTTTTCCCCAGAGTTCGTTCCATCCATAAGGACTTTGCTGAAGTGAAAGAACTTGGCAAGCCTGATGATGTCATTGGAGCTGGGACAATCCCTTGTCCAGGTGTCACCATTGGCAAAAGCAGAGGACCTCCCACTCCCTGGACCAGATGCTGCCCCTCAAGGGGAACTCTCCAGCCCTGAAGCGGCCCGGCAGCTTTTCAGACATTTTCAATACCAGGTGCTTTCTGGGCCCCAGGAGACCCTGAGGCAACTTCGGAAGCTCTGTTTCCAGTGGCTGCAGCCAGAGGTTCACAGCAAAGAGCAGATCCTGGAGCTCCTCATGTTGGAGCAGTTCCTGACCATCCTGCCTGGGGAGATCCAAATGTGGGTGCGCACACAACACCCCAGCAGTGGAGAGGAGGCTGTGACGCTAGTAGAGAGCTTGAAGGGTGATCCTCAGAGACTGTGGCAGTGGGTAAGCAAAGTATTGGGATATATGGTCCTTTTGGGGTGTCTTCCTGCCTCATATATGGCTCTTAAATAGTTGTACTTGACTACTAACCAAAATGTTGATGCTTTGAACCCACCAACTGACAAAGTTAAAGAAAGATCTTGTCATCTCCTTTCCTTGAATGTTATTGCTAAGAAAACTCGAAAGAGCTTTTCTGCTCAAGGTGTTGCTGTGAGTTGCAATGAACCTTTCCACAGCTTTCTTTTATTTTCCTTTGTGTTTTAGTAACTGCACTCTTAGCTGCTAGAGACTGAAGATACAATCTCTTGTTCCATTCTCATTTAATGCTAGAACATTTGCATTAGTTTAAGTTTTAGTTGGTACAGACTGTCCAACTGAAACCCTGTAGTCGTGGACGGCTTGTCTCTCTGAGGTCTTGCAGGCCAGGTTCAGTGTCAGCAGTGGATCTCTCTGTCGGATTTCCATCAAAGGCTGGAAATACCTGCTGGATGAGAAAATGAAGCTGGCTTTCTACTTCCTTAAAACCTATTCCTAAGGACTGTCCTGTATTCTGTTTTTAGGAATCCAGGGTCAGCATCCTTCAGTAACTAATAATATGTGGTCTTTAGATCAGCAGCCAGGTTCTAGGACAGAAAAGCTCAACTGAGAAGGTGGAATCTGCAAGCTACCAAGTGAGGGAGGGAGAGGCCAGTCTTGAAGTGGTGCCTCAGGAGCTGGGACTTCAGAATTCAGCTTCAGGGCATGAGGAACAGCTGAGACACATCATCAAAGAGGAACCTGACACTGAGTCGGAATTAGGTGAGAGCCAGTTAGTATTTATGCTGGTATTGGGGACCTTTTGGAGAAAATTAGATTTGGGAACAAAGTTGATATCCACAAGTCACCTTGTTTAGGAGATTCAGTGTCAGCATTTTCAAATACTTTTTATCTGCATTAGACTGTTTGGATTTGGGATTTGACCAAGGAGGGGAGGGAATATTTGAGTGAACCTCTTTGGGGTATTAGAAGGGTTTGGATTTTGTTAGTGATGGAAGTAGAAATCTTGAAATTGTAGATAGAAGTATCCATTATAATTTGACAATCTCTTTGTTGGATTTTTTTTTTAAATCAATGCCTCTGAGGAATGACTGAGGAGGACATCTAGATTCTTAAAGCTTCCTGTGTCTGCCTTCAGTGATGGCAGCTCCCCAGCTTCTTGCCAGACCTGAGGAAAGGCTTGTCAGCAGCCAGCACTCTGGAGTCTCCCTTCTCCGAGCGTCATCTCAGGTGAGCCAGTTTTCTCTGCTTTTCTGCCTTTTGAACCAGATTTGAGCATTCACCCATAGTTAGGAGGACTGAAATGAGTGCATGTTCTGAAGTGCAGTGGAGAAGAGGGCCCCGCTAAGAGAACAGGAACAATACACATGTAAAGAAACTTGAGTTTCAGAATTTCTCTCAGGTCTTCCCAAGACAGAATGGCAGTTGATTTTTTTTTTTAATTTTCACTTTGCAGAACTTATTTTTATTATATATTGCTTTGCATATTTGTGTACAAAATCCGTATACATTGTGTTTCATTCATATACATTGTGTGTCATATTATATTCTTTCCTTCACATTGTGGTTTTTTTTGTTATATTTTTTTATTTGCAAATAGAGAAAGTTCATGTTAAAAAAATAGAAAATGGAGTATAGTAAATATACAAGTCGTGT